AGGGGACTGATTCTTGAAGTTTAGGGATAGCTTCGTGGAGATCCATGACAGGTTGCCATTTCTGTTAGCTTCAAGAATAAGCTGTGTACGGGACCATAATTAATATAATGATGCATAGAATAATGAGGGAAGTATGTAGATGATCTGTGGATCATCAGGTTGGAGTTCTGGCAAAATTGACAACAGGCAAGCATGGTGTACCCTGAGTTTCGTGCCCTCTGTTTGGAGTTTACAACGAGAGTTAGTGAAAACTAGGATTAGACATGGATTCCTTGGGTTTTATAGAGTATTTTAGGGCTTGGAATTTTTAATTTTCATCAAGAAAGCATGGAGAACGATTGGAGGGAATTTTTGTGCATGGAGTTCATGCCTGAAACCCTAAACGGAGGGAGGAAGAAGACGACTCACAGGCCCTTGGATCTGGAGGAGAGGATTGACTTGACCAGGAATCGAACGACCCACGTTTGATCTGAGTTTTGGTGGGAGAATTCAAAAATTGAAACGCAGCGTTTCATTAATTGGGGGGATTGGGCTCAGACAGCTATTCGCACCCCCCAATTTAATAAGCCCAATGCGCTGAACTGGGATATCTTGCTATTCTCACCCCCTGGCTATTTCTTTCTATTTTCTTTATTATTTTCTTTTCATTTTTTCATTCATTTTAAAAAATTCATAACAAATAGAAAAATCATCATTTTTAATTCATTCTTTTTGCATATTTTTCTTTAGGATGTCTAGAAAATTATATAAAATAAAAATTGCATTTTATATTTTATTTGATATTTTTCCTATATTTTCTAAATAAATGACATTTTACATAACTTCATTTCATGCATGATTTTGTTATTTTTTGTTTTATTAAATGCTTCAATATTTTTCATCCATTCTTTTTAGGTTGTCTAGGTTAGACATTGAACTTGTGGATTCAATTTAGTTCCCATTTTTAGAAGTTAATTTTAGGTGCTTAGTGTAAATGTGAATAACATGGATAAAACTAGGGTTTTAGGTGATGACTTAGGAGATTTGATTCTTTTCCCTTAGGACTTAGGGTTTGACTAGTTTAGTTATGGGACTATAGGGGCTATGGGTAGTTATTAGATCCCTTAGGAAAAGTCAGGATTCCCCTACTGCTATTAATATGCTGTTGTATCTGATTGACTGGTGTGGTGTGCCCTCTGGGGATCATTGCTTGTTTGTTTGGGTATTGGGATCATTTGGGGACTTGGGAGAGCTGAAGATTTGAGGAGATGAAGACCATTGGAGATCCAGAGATTGAAGATCAACTGTCAGAGTTGAGGAGGAGGTTCTTGCTAGCAGCTGCTGAGGAGACTAGGGTTTAGGAGCTAGGCAGAGCTCTAGATTAGAAAGCTTGCTTCTCAAACATAGATGGCTTTGTTTGCCTCTATCCTTTCTCTATGATTCAAAGTCTCTTTCAAATATCCACCTCCTTCCTTTGGAAGGATCAGTGAAAGTATTTGGAAGATAGAACTTTTGAGAGAAACCTGTCTGCATAATGTTAACAGTTAATGTGCCACCCTTGGTAGGCAGTTTACTGTTTAACATTTATCTCCTCTTGTTGACTGATGTTCATCCCTGAAGATTGGAGACTTGAAGAAAAGCCATTGCTTATAGGAGACTGATGATCAAAGCCCTTGCCTGAAGGCCATGAAGATGGAGATTGATGCTTTGTTGAAGCCCATAAATGATTGGAGATTACTTGAAGCCAGATGTTGATTCAGAGCTGTTGATGCTGTTTCTTTTGCTGTTGTATTTCATTTCTGATGTATTGATTGTTTTTCTGGACTGTATTGTTTGCTGTTTACCCTGTTGGGTTGAAGGTGAAGCCTGTTCACTTTTGCCTATTGTTTTCTAGGTTCGAGGTTGAGTGGGACTCCCTTGCCTCGCTTGTACTGTTGCATCCATGCATTTTACTGTTTTACTGTATATATCTGATATCGTTTCTGTTGCTGCCTGTCCCTTAGGATCTCTGTTTCTCTCCGTGCAAGAGAGGAGCATGATAGACACTAGGTCTTAACCCATGCATGATAACATTAGGTTAGTTTGTTTCCCTTCGCAACCATAGGTTAGAGTTCTGTCTCTTCTTCCTCAAAACAAACAGAAAAACACATAAAGATTTCAAACACAATAAAAGACACTTCTTCCGTAAAAGAAGGTGAACTCATCAAGACGTTATTTTTGTCCGCTGGGACTGTTAATCAGAAAAACCTTTTTCAGAAGGAATAAAATCAACCAAGACAGACTTGTGTCGTACGTGGCCCGAACTACGTTTGCTCTGACCTTTCATGCTGTGTGGAAGTACGTAGGCATAGGATGCGATATCCTAGCGAGCAACCTTCCCCTCTTTTCCCGTAGGTAGGCGAACTACGTTGACTCTGATTTCTCGTTCCAGACGGGAATACGTAGGCATAAAGTGCGATACTTTGCCGAGTCATTTTTATTTTCATTTTATTTTCTTTTTTAACCCTTGACCTATAGTTTAGATAGAATAACAATCCATACCCGAAAACAAGCGTGGATCCCGTCGAGTACGACGGACGTGAGGGGTGCTAATACCTTCCCCTTGCGTAACCGACTCCCGAACCCAGGTTTTGGTTGCGATGACCATACCTTTCCTGTGTTGTGCGAGGTTTACTCTGAGCGTTTCCTTTCCCTCCCGTGGGATAAATAACGCACGGTGGCGACTCTTCTGTTCAGCCGACGCCGATTTTCGCAGTAGCGACAGTTGGATGCTTTGGTGATGTGATGTTTGAGTGCTTTAGTGGTGTGATGTTTGGGTGTACATTGATTGGATGCTATGGTAGGATGGGGTGGAATCATATGCTTCATCGGGGCTATAGTAAGATGTGGTGGCAACATATGATTGTTGGTCGTATGGGTCATGCTCTTGGTTTTGTGTTTGGGTGTGTAACATGAATTTGTTGCGGGGTTGAGTGTAGGTGGGTTCGTAATCATGTTCGTTTGGTTGTTGAGTGTATCTGGTATGAAGTTGTTATTAGGTTTGGGTGGGTTGATAATGTTGTTGGGTTTGGTATTGTTGTGGGGATGAGGTTGGTTGTTGGGTGTATGATACCGAAACTCGTTAGTGTGGGTCAATCAAATACCTCGGGTCAGACACAAACTATGTCGTTGTAACCGACCTATACCAATTCATATAATTTTGAGTTGGTCTAGCATCCTGCACGATATGTTCGTTTATGATCCGTTGATGTCAGTGCTTCCATTGACGACACGCATCTCTAGCGAACTCTCTACAATCAGAATAATTTCATTGAGCATCTACTCTTAGTTGATGCCATTGTCCCAAACACACTAGAGGATCTGGGATTTGTTACTACATGACAAACTACAATTTGACATGATCACTTTGGTGCATCTCCACAATAGTGAACCTGATTGTTGGTGTTGGTTGAAAATGTACACGTTGAAGAAGTCCCACATTGCTTAGTTTTATGAATTAAGAGAGAGTCCAAAGCTATATATAGGATAAAAGTTCTTTGAAGTCACACATTGCTTTTTTTAGAAGGAAGAGGGAGTTCAAGATTATATATATGATTCAAGTTTTTCATTCTAAGATGCACCAGTCAAAAGTACTTTAAGCTTATATTTGACTTTATTTATTCCTATACTCTAGTATTAAGGTGTTGTAAGATGTAGTTACGTATTTGTTTTAGATGGTATGAGTGTACTGCGTCGACAAAGGTAGTTTCATGGTTCGACAGAAGTTGTGGATGCTGTAGCCGAAGTCTGGTCAAACATGCTACCGAAATATGTTAGCTTTATCTTTAAGTTAACATGTCGAATTGGGTTTTACTTGTAAGCCCAATTGTTAAGTTAGCCTGTATCCTAAGATAGCTTAGTAGTCTATAAATAGACTAGTTCACTCACATTGTTGAGAGAGGTTAATTTTTGATATTAACTTGTAATCTTTGAACCCTTATTGAGAAAGTGAATAGAAAAACATATTTAACCAATTCTTATTCTTCTTCTTCCTTATCCTCTCTCTTTTGTAAAACCTAATAGAGTTTCTTGTGTTTGTTCAAGAAACTCAATCTTTTTCTCATATTTTGATTTGTTCTTGACAACATCAATTCACAACACTGATGATGGATACGGCGAACAAAATGGTGATTATGTAGTTCATGCCGTCAGCTCGGACAAAATCGTACAAATTGTTCCAATGTTGGAGTAAGCTTTACAACATAATTAAATAATTCACTTTTAGTCCTACTTTTTATATGTAATTTATTTTATGTAACCATTTAATTTGATATTCTTTTCATAAAAATTACAACATTCAATTACAACAATAAAAACAACAACACGACAAACAAATAAAACTATAAAACTAAACAACATTTTTATGCGATTACAACCATCAAGACAATTTTTTCTAAAATATGCATCATAATACGACAATCACTGTCAATTTTAACTAACTCCCATATACAATGTTTTTTATTATTGTTGTACATCGTAACAAGCATTACAATTCTTCTGATCTTTTCACCGCTTGCAATGTCTTTATTTAACCAACGGATCAAGCTCCTCTAAATATGCTTGAAAGTCTGCGTGTTTCAAAGTTGAATCTTCATCAAAGACTTTACTGTTAAATAAATCAAATTGATATTTCACTTGATAATATAACACGATATTTACAAAAAAAAAAAAAATTGAGTGCATGTGAATACACACGTCACAACCAATAACCATTCTCTTCCGAGATGAAATTTTTTTAATTTAAAACATATTTAATTTGATATTTTTTCTGAAAAAGTAATTATTTAAGAATTTCTTATAACAAATATGGTTATTTTATAAAAAAACTCGTGTTGTGTAATTTGATTTCTTTTTTATACTTGAAATTATAAAGGGCGAAACTTGAAATTAATATTGAATTTTAATTTTAATTTTATGACCGCATAGAGTATCGACCGTAACAACTGACACACGTTGAAGCAAGGGGTCAAGTGGTAATTTTAATGGCAACCAACTCCCCGGAGATACCCGCCGTGACACCGTCTTCCACCGCCGAACCACCTCAGCCTCAAATTCAAACTCAACCTCCTCCCACAAAACCACCACCACCACCGCTTCCGGTTAAACCGGAGACCCCTTTACCAGACTCCAAACCCTCAAACGACACCACCTTAATTCATATCCCAACTCACTCGAGATGGTTCTCATGGGATTCCATTCACGAATCTGAACTCCGTAACATTCCCGATTCTTCCAAGAACCCTAGGGTTTACAAATACTACAGAAACTCCATCGTCAAGTTTTTCAGATTCAATCCCAACCGAAAAATAACCTTCACCGATGTTCGCAAAACGCTCGTCGGCGACGTCGGTTCAATCAGAAGAGTCTTCGATTTCCTCGAAGCTTGGGGTTTAATCAATTACCATCCTTCTTCTTCGCTCGCAAAACCTTTCAAATGGGAAGATAAAGACACCAAAACCGAATCAGCTTCAAATTCCACCGAATCTCCTCCAGCACCTATCAAAGAAAATGCTAAGAGAATCTGCAGTAACTGCAAAAATCTCTGCGCCATTGCTTGCTTTGCATGTGATAAGGTTAGTTTGCAGTGTCTATAGTGTATATAGTTTTAAATAACGGCTGTGGTTTTCGAATTTCGGTCGGTACAGGTGTTGCAACACTGATTGCGGTTTCTGCAGTGTGAATTAACCACAATTTGTTCTTAATAGGTGAATAACTGTATCGCTATCGGCACTTGCCAATACTGTTTTGTCGCACTGATAGTGTATTATTGAAAATGTTTAGCTTTAATGAATTGTTGTTTAAAAAGTTATATTTATGATGGATTGTGATTTCTTTATGCTGGTATGGTAGTGTATCGAAGTTAAACTTAATTTGAAATCAAATTGTGGAATTTAAACTGTGAATTTGGGTGCAGAATAATATGACTCTATGTGCAAGGTGTTTTGTTCGTGGAAGCTATAAAGTTGGGACAAGTAATACTGATTTCAAGAGAGTGGAGATAAGCGAGGAGACCAAACCTGATTGGACTGAGAAGGAAACTCTGAAACTTCTTGAATGTATTACGAATTTCGGTGATGATTGGAAGAGGGTTTCTCATCATGTTATTGGAAGGACTGATAAGGAATGTGTTGCTCGTTTTCTCAAGCTTCCTTTTGGGGATCAGTTCATGCATTCTCAACGCTTCGAGTCTGCTCATCTCGCTGATGATGGTCGTTCTGATCTGTTGAAGCCTTCCGTTGATGCTGGATGTGAATCAGAAACTGCTGGCTTGGATAAATCTAGTAAGAGAATGCGTCTCACGCCTCTTGCCGATGCAAGCAATCCTATCATGGCTCAGGTTATTTTCTTGGCTTAAAGCGATCCTTGTTTTCTTTGAATTATTGCTAATTAACTTCATTTGATTACGTTTAGCAGTGCTATATAACAATCCTTGTTTTCTTTGAATTATTATTGATCTGTGTTGAATATGAACCGAGTTGAAGGGTGGATGATTTATTTGAAAGTTCTTTTGCTTCTTAACAATTTTGATGTTCAAACTATTGCAGGCTGCTTTCCTTTCTGCTTTGGCAGGGACAGAGGTTCCACAAGCTGCAGCTCAAGCAGCTCTGAGAAGTTTGTCCGATGTTTACAAGTCAAGTAGAATTAATCATCGGTCATTTCCAAAGCAAGGTGAGAATGACATATAACCCAGCTTAAGATTATAGTCTTTTGAATGAATTTAAGCTTTCATCTACCATAATGGGGTTAATCTTAATGGGCTTAAGATTTTGCACTGTACTAATTGGAGCGGTTTTCTGAAATTTTTAAACTCAATTTTCTCGGTAAAAATGGTGTTTGTATGTTTCTTGCAGATGCTGGTGTTGCATCAAACGGCGTTAATGCTTCAAATTCTATCCAAGGATCTCTTCTGCGGGCAAATTTAGAGTGTGAGAAGGAAGAGTCAGATGTAGAAAAAGCAATTTCTGAGATTATAGAAGTTCAGGTCTGTCATATATTAGTGAGCTATCATTTTGTTTGAAGGTGTTTTTACTTATTTGTTTGGTAATCCTTGCTAATGTATGGATGTTGCGCTGTATAGATGAAAAATATCCAGGACAAGCTTATGAATTTTGAAGATTTAGACCTGCTAATGGAAAAAGAACGCCAACAATTGGAGCAAGTGAAGAGTTTGTTTTTCCTTGATCAACTTAATCTTTTATTTCGCAAAACATCTGCATCAGCAACCGGAGAAGGCAATCATGTAAAAAGGAATTGATGACTGACTAGTCTTAGTTAAGCTATTATTGATCTTAGATTAAGCTGAATGTATTCATTTTCCATTTGATTGCAAAGTCACTGAGTGTCTGTTCAATATTGTTAGTTAAAACTACATATTTCATATCCATGGCAGGATTTTTGTTATATATTGTCAGCTTGCTTACACATTCCTGCCTAAAAATGGCTTTGAAGTTTCCATTATGTTCTCTGTTCACACTGCATTTCGCTACCGGAGTTGTAAGTAGGGGTAGTGAAATGAGTAAAAGTGGTATGTATGAATAATACTGTAAATTTTTTGAAGTTGTGTTTTCTAGTTTCAAAAATTCATTTCAAGGAAGGAACTTTTAATTATGTATACTAAGTTGTTATTGCTTCCTTTGAAAGGAGTACTTTTTTTCTTCAATTTTAAAGAACAGATTAGTTATATTAAAATATAGATGAAAGTTGCTTCACTAATCACAAAATATACCTATTTTAAAGACATTTATGCATCCTACTTTCTCTTTATTTTTCTTTCTGTTCATTCTTTCATGTCCATTTCCATTCTTCCAGTTTCTGTAAGCAACAAACCACTAGGGTGATGTTCACTGCAAAATATCTTTGTCCATTACATCAATTAGTGCCATTCATTTATACTGCTTTGGTCTATCAGTAATAAGATTTAGACAGACATTTCTAGCAAATAAATAATGTCATGAAGACACCATGTGGGAGCCCGTGACAGAAAGCAACGGAAAATTCTCTCTTGTCACAAACATTTCTTTATATGAACTTGAAAGATCGAACCGCCTGCAAATTTCAAATGGAAACTGAATGAATTTTATGACAAACAAATAAAATCTATTCCAATCAACTATGCTGCATAATTGCATATTTCAGCCCAAAACATTTGTTCTGTCAAATATCTAAATACTTCAATTATGAAAAGAAGTTAACCTTCTGAATCTTGGAAGCATACTGGTCTGTTTCTTCATCCCCATACTGCATGTATGCAACAAGATAACAATCAATGCTCATCAACATTTAGCTCTAGACTCAAACATCAAACACACACATAGACACTGTAAATACTGCATGTATGCAACAAGATAACAATCATTGCTCATCAACATTTAGCTCTAGACTCAAACATCAAACACACACACAGACACTGTAATATATCAAACAGTACCTGTCCTGTTACTGTATACAGTCTGTTATACCAGCCATTTTTTAACATCCCAATAGCTGAGTATAGATGTTTGCGACTCTCGCCAGGATTTTGGAGCGTATACTCGATGAAATAAAATCCTGAACCATTTTTAGTCAAATTAAGCATTCAGAACTTCAAAATTCACACATAATTTCAGTTTTATGAAGTCTCTTTCGGTCTCATTGAGCATATATCAGAACTATATGCAGAACCCATAATCAAGCAGCTTTCGATGAAATTAAAGCATTAAAGTAAGCACCTTTAGATGATTTACAGTCTATGAGTTTAGCAGCCACACCAGGTGGTTTTTTCCAGCTTCTGTCTAATCCACTAACCTGTTATATATTCATTTCAACGAAATAGGTGGGAAATTTAAGCATCGGCTGAATCCGAAAGAGAGAAAACCAGTAAACAATAGTTTGAATACGATCAAGAAATAACACCAGAGTGTCAGCAAACTCTTCAACTTTGCCAAATGACTCCATCTTAGTGAAATCCGGTCCTACTTCTGTGATCACAACGCTCACTGAAGCAGCATATCAATCGATTTCAATTAGTTTTTATAATACATACAGTGCAGTTTGCAACTGATGAAAAAATAAATGATTTAACGAGAGTCTAGTTATACCATTGGAATTAGATTCCTCTTTCGGATAAAAAGCCGTCAGTGATTTAAACCCAGCAGTTTCTCCTGTTCCGGTTTTCCACTCTGATCCAAACCAGTAAAACAAAACAAAAAGTACATGATTAATTTAGTTTAAGCCTCTAAGTGTATATCTATAGTTTCTTCCAAATTTGCAGTTCAATTCACCTTGAGGAATCTCTATCTTGAACTTGTTCTCATCATCGGTGTAGACACTAAAATCCTCAGACACATCTACGACACAAGAGACAAAATCAAAATACCACGATACTAACCATCATCAATGCAGTAACAATACAAAGTTTAAGAGATAGCCATTAATCACCATTGAGTGCCAATGCATTTGAGACAGTAGATGAAGCTACAATTGCTGCTGTTGATGTGTAAAGAATCAGTTGTCTTCTATTAACAGCATGTCCTTCTTCTAAGGAAGAACTGATCAAATTTTGTGGTCTTGTTTTATGATGTTCCGCGGTTATGGAAGATGATAAACCTGAACAAAAAGCTGAGTTAAATTCATTAGGAATATTGAATATGAACAACATGAAAATTTAGTGGAAATGGTGAAGGACCTTTGTTGTCTGCAGAGGCTGTTGGTCGGATGTGAAGACAGCTGAACCATGAAATGGATGCCATTTCTTTATGATGGATGAGCTTCACTTCTCACCCTTCATTTCCTTTATTATCTGTTTAATTACACTTCTATCCTCCACAAAGAAACTATTTTTATCAACATTTTTAAATGGTTCAATATGTTTTTTTTTCTCCCAACAAGAGTAATCAATTTAGATTTCCATACCAATATTATTAGAAAATTCAAAATTCAATTGATTGGCTGATACTTTAAGAATTCCAGTAACCATAATAATGTTATAAGTGCTAAAATTCTAAGGCTTAACAAACAACATAGTTCTTCTTTTAAATGTGTCTAGGTGTCGTAGACTATGCTAGTAGGAATTTTTAATGTTTGTGAGTTAGGTAGCTAAATAAGAAGGATATGGTGGAGAAGTTTATCTCTTTCAATTTTCTAGATTATCTCCTTGGTGCATTATCTTTGGGGTAATGAGTTATGCGATTGAAGTTATGCCTCTATTGTTGGGAACATCGATGGACTTCTTTCTATTTGGTGGATCTCGAAGGAGTCCTCAATTTTCTCTTTCTTTGATTTGGGTTTTTTTGGGATTTGTTTTGGTTGAGGGTGTTACTCATTTTATTTTCTACGTGTTTAATGTCTATTCAAGTTGAGTCTTAGTTGAAAAGAGAATTACGTGAGATGATCTTGTGTAGAGAAGATCGACGGTAGGAGGTGAGGTGTGGTATGTTTAGAGCTTTAACTTTGTGTGTTCGAAAGCTGAAATGATAAGAGTTGGGGGTTCTTTAGGTTGGGGAGAGGCGCGGAAAGCATTGGTTTCCTTAATTTTATTGCTAAAATCGATTTACTTTTGTTTGGGAGAAAATTTACTTAGTTTCAACATAATGGAGGAGTTTTTAGTAGGTTGGATAAAGTCTTTGTTTCAGAGGGTTGGTGTGACCATTAAGGTTTAATGTCCCAGTGAGATTTGACTAGAGATGTTTCTGATCATTGTCCTATTATTCTTCGATATTGTAATAAGTTGGGGGTTCGAAACCTTTCAGGTTTAATAATCCATGGCTTGACAACTCTAGTTTACGTGAGGTTGTGGGTTTTCTCTAACTATTTGTCTTGGAAAGTTTTTGTTCTTAAAGAGAAGTTTAAGCCTCTTAAGTATTCTCTAAACGTTTGAAATAAAGAAGTGTTTGACAATATGGATTTTCGTTTGAATGAGTTAAGAGAGGAGATTAGTAGTTGAGACCTTAAAGTTGATCATGGAGCCTTTTAGTAAGATGAGATTTCTTCCAGGTCCAGAGACTATTCGAATTTATGGTCCTTCCTCCGGATTAAGGATTCTTTTTGGTTCCAAAGATCTCGGAGTAGGTGGTTGAAGGAAAGAAAGACTAATACCAACTTTTTTCATGCTTGTGTTAAAAGTAGGAATAAGATGAATGCTATCACAACTCTTTAAGTAGTTGAGGGTTGGATAGAAGGTGTGAGTGAGGTACAAAAATAATTTACTAAGTATTTTACTGAGCATTTTTAAGAACCACTTATGGATATGCCATAATTATATGGTGTGCCTTTTCAATCTCTTTCTCCTATATACTTAATAGGCCACAAGTATATATAGTTATATTGAGTAATATAAAAAATATTGAATCCATAGTGACCAATTATCAAGTACCATTTTCTATTATTTCAATGTGTATCTAAGTCTTTGTGTGAAACTAGTTTGTTTGTGCGAGATTAAAAAATAATCGACTTCTTTAATATTAAAACAAGAGTCCGAGATTGTGATTCTTGTATCCCGACTTTACTCAATGGGATCCCCACTTGTTACGCAAGGGGAAGGTATGAGCACCCCTCACGTCTGTTGTACTCAATGGGATCCCCACTTGTTGTCTAATCTATGGGTGAAAGTTATCTAAACGCTACTGCTAAACTGGGGTGGAAAGGAAAGAAGAGACTCGACAGGACATCACCGTCCTATGCCTACATATTCCCTCGTGCAATGAGAAAGTTAGAGTCAACGTAGTTCGGGAAACTACAGGTGCTAGGGGGAAGGTTACTCGCCAAGACATCACCGTCTTGTGCCTACGTATCCTCATCTGGTATGAGAAGTCAGAGCAAATGTAGTTCAGGCAAACTAGATCACTGGTTGGTTAGTATTTTTTTATGAGTGACGTTAAGTTCCCATTCCAGCAGTTAGAGACGATGTCTGTTTGCGACAGAACAGAAAAGTAACGTACTCGTTTTTGAAAATGATTTGAAGAACAATCCCGAAAGATAAAAAGGTTTGAATTTGGTTTGTTAGTTTTAGTGAAGTGGATTGAGTTAGTTTGAGACTCACGTTGCACTAAAGACTATGACATAGGAGCGAATGCGTCGCATATTGCCTAAGGGGCATACACTAAACACTCTAGACAAGTGAGGAGAAACCCTTCGCTCATCATTTCCCATGTACTTAAGGCTCGTAGTGTACAACATTTGTCATTTCTTATTAAGTGTCTTAAAGAAGTTTGAGATGAGAAGCGAAGACACAAAAAAAGAAAACACTAAAGGGAAACTGAAAACCCTAATGTTATCATACAAAATGGTCCTAAGGTTAGGATGAAAAGGATGTCTACCTAATGTTATCATACATATGATGGACCTAGAGTTAAGGTCAAAGAGGGACTATCCTACTTGTTATCATGCAAAGGATTGAAAGCCTAATGTCTTTCCTACTCCTATCTTAATCGAAAATTAAGAGGGACCAGGAATCCTAAGGGATCATGTGAACAAGCACAAGTAAACACCATACTAATCAATCACAAATGAAAACAAAAGTAAGACTTAAACAAGTCAAAGAGATGAAAGATAAGAGATAAGAATGAAGGAGATACAAACAAGATGAACAAACATGGTAGGTGTCGCAACTGCGAAAAAGGGGCCGACAAACAGACAGAAGAGTCGCCACCGAATGTTATTTATCCCAAAGAGAGGGAAAGGAAATGATTAAAGAAAACCTAAAAGAAACGGGAAAGACAAGGTCATCACAACCAAATCTTGGGTTCGGGAGTCGGTTACGCAAGGGGAAGGTATGAGCACCCCTCACGTCCGTTGTACTCAACGGGATCCACGCTTGTTGTCTAATATATGGGTGAAAACTATTTAAAAGCTACTGCTAAACAGGGGGGGGGGGGGAGAGAAAGAACTGACTCGATAGGACATCGCCGCCCTATGCCTACATATTCCCTCGTGCAATGGGAAAGTCAGAGTCAACGTAGTTCGGGAAACTATGGGTGATGGGGGGAAGGTTGCTCGCCAAGACATCACCGTCTTGTGCCTACGTATCCTCATCTGGTATGAGAAATCAGAGCAAACGTAGTTCGGGAAACCTAGACCGCTGGCTGGTTCAAGTGTTTTATGAGCAATGTTACATATCCATTCTAGAAGTTAGGGACGATGCCTGATTGCGGTAGAATAGAGACGTAACACACTCTTTCTGAAAATTAGGTTTGAAACAATCCCGAAGGATGAAAAGGTTTGAATTTTGTTTGTGTTTTTTAAAAGAAGTGAATTGAGTTAGTTTGTAACTCATGTTGCACTAAAGACTATGACATAAGAGCGAATGCGTCACATATCGCCCAAAGGGCATACGCTAGACACTCTAGACAATGTGAGAAGAGGCCCCCCACTTATCATTTCTCATGAACTTAAGGCTCGTAGCATACAACACTTGTTATCCTTTATTAAGTGTCTTAAAGAGATTCTGATATGAGAAGAGAAGACACAAAGACTCTAAGGGGAACTATAAACCCTAATGTTATCATGCAAAGTGATCCTTAATTTGGGATGAAAAGGGATACTACCTAATGTTATCATGTAAAGGATTGAAAGCCTAATGTCTCTCATACTCCCATCTTAAACAGAGGGAATAGGACTCCTAAGGAATCATGGCAAGAAGCACAAGTAAACAGAATGCTAAATCAATCACAGATGAAAATGAAATGAAAGACTTAAACAAGTCAATGTAATATGAAAGAGATATGAAATGCAAACACTAATGTAAACATGAAACAATGCAACAAAACAAACACAAGTCACAAAGATGGGAGACTTAAACAAGTCAACAAGAGATGAGAGGAAATGAGAGAAGCAAGCTCCTACAATCAAATAACATCAATCATCATAAGAAGAAAGGTGCTAAACACAAAAGCACAATCAAGGAAGTGATGGAGGAAAAAGAGTGGGGCAGCCACCACGTCATAATCATCTCAACCAAACACTTACTTATGATCACATAAAGAAAAGCAACTAAACAAACTCAAAAGAAGTCATATTATTCATAAACAACTTCAAAGTGAAACCAAAATCACCAAAGCACCATGAACAAATCCACAACCATCAAGGTCAGAAGTGAAACTCAAATGGGATACCTCAAATTCAAAATTAAATTGGAAAGCAAACACAAGAATGATCAAGTTCAATTAGAGGACCAAAGCCCATCCAAACATCTCATACTTCAAACAAATGGAGAGACATGATCAAATGAAACTTGTGGGACAAGGTGCACATCCAATGGACCCATAAACATGCAAGGAAGCACCTCAAGCATGTTAAAAAAAGTTAATCAAGGCTCAAGAGGTACTCAAGGGATCACATAAGATCACATCCCAAAACAAGGTCAATGATTGAATGTATACACACAATGAAAATACTTTGAGTTTGAGATACCCATCAAAAATAGAAGCAAACTCAAATAAAATCCAAATAAAATACCCAACTCAAGTCAAGTCAATCACAAATCATAATGCAAAAGATCAAGGCAAGAAACAACTCAAAGCACCACCAATTGTGTCAAACAATGCAAGGGGTTCCACTTATCGAGTCAACATCGAGGAGAAAATTAAAGCCTATGAAAAAAAATGAAATGTGATCATCAAGACCTCAAACCAGCCCTCAAATATACCTCAATCAATCACCTAAGTGTGAGAGGAAAATTGGTCAAAGGAGGTGTTTTAATTGTGGTCAATGATCAAGTTCAATTCAAGGTATAAACCATAAAACACCTTCAATC